GACACGACGCGAGTGCTCCCGTGCGCGGAGCACAGCACGGATGAGTGGAGTAAAGCAGAGGAATCCCCCCCCCCCTCGGACGCCTCGCGGGCCCCATCAGGCAGGCCGTCTTTGTGGACAAATCGCGAGCGAGCGCGCCTCGCCGTGCCGCGCCGCCTTCCTTGGAGCCTCGTGATTGCCGCCCTCTTATTAATACATACTTGCTCTAATGGACAAATGGGCGTCTGGCGAGCCGCGTGTCCTTGGGGCGGCCGGCTTCACGCCCTGCGTGCCGTGCCCTTCGAGAGGCGTCCGAGGCGACGCGCCGTCGCACAGTGGGCCAGAAGACCGGTGGAGGCGGCCAAAACTCTAGACGCGTTTTTAGCTCCGGAGTCGCTAAATGGGACTCGAACCCAACGTGTGACCCCACCAATGGATTGCTCTCCGAACGAGGAATCCATTGGTGGGGTCACACGTTCGGTTCGAGTCCCATTTAGCGACTCTGGAGCTCAAAACGCGTCTGGAGTTTTGGCCGCCTCCGCCGGTCTTCTGGCCCACTGTGCGCGCTGTTTCTCACGCGGCCCTGGTCACGACGACGGCGACGTCGGACGGCGGCGGCAGCTGCTGCGGCTTGTCCGAAAGCGGAAACGGTCCGCCAGGAAATACGGAATGCTACTCGCTTGTCGCGCGCATTTTTCTAAAAACGCGGCTTTTGCCTGTCGCCCCCTCCGGGCCCTCTGCGGCTGTAGCCCGCTGGAGCCGCTGGACCCTCGGGCGGCGAGTGCTGGAAATGACGCCATTTGTTCTGTCGCCCCTGTTGGCGTCTCCCCTGTCCGCGTTGTCGGAGTGAGTCGCGCGGTGGCACACTGGAAAACTCCGGCGGCGCTCCAGTTTTTCCAGCGCGGTCCGCTGGAGCCAGCCAGCCTGCCAGGCAGGCAGCGAGGTCCTAATGAAGACGCGGCTATTCGACAGGCTGCCCGGCCGGGGCCCGGCCGGGGGGCGGGTAACGCGGTGGTAACGCGCTGCGCTGCGGGCTCAACGCAGTCGCTGCCTCTCTCGCGCTCGGCGCGCGCGTCGCTCGGGTGCGAGAGAGACAGGGCGACCCTGTTCGGAATCGGCCTGCCGGGCTCGGCTCCTGAATATGGAACGAGCACCTTCGGGCCTTCGGGCCTCGGGGAAGTGGTTTCAAGTGACTGTGGGTCCTCCGTATTCGGGGTTCGAACCGTCGCACAGTGGGCCAGAAGACCGGTGGAGGCGGCCAAAACTGGAGACGCGTTTTGAGCTCCAGAGTCGCTTAATAGGACTCGAACCGAGCGTGTGACCCCACCAATGGAATCCTCGTTCGGAGGGCAATCCATTGGTGGGGTCACACGTTCGGTTGGAGGCCCATTTAGCGACTCTGGAGCTCAAAATGCGTCTAGAGTCTTGGCCGCCACCACCGGTCGTCTGGCCCACTGTGCGCCGAACTCTTGGCTGGGGTCGTGGCCGTGGCGGGGCCTGGGCTGCCTGGGTGCGTACACACTGCATGCGCGCTGATACCACGAGCACCGCGTTCGCGAGTTGCCGGCGCCGGTCTCGGTTCCGGCCTCGGCCCGGCTGGGCTCGGCTCGGCTGGGCTCGGCTCGGATCGCCTCGGCCGGCCTCGGCCTCGGCCCAGCAGAGAGCGCGCCAGCGCGCCAGAGGTGACGGCGGAGTGAACAAGATAGATTATGCCCCACTCATTTCCAACGACGCTCGGCAGCCGTGCGGCTACACTGCAACAACGCGGTACAGGCGGTACAGGCGCGGCCAAGAGTGGACTGGAGCCTTCAGGACCGTCCGCGACGACGCCAACGAGGACCTGCAGTGCAGAGTGAGGGCGACGCGATGGGGCCATTTTGAAGGTGTGCCCGCCAAGACAGCGGTGCTCTGCTCGGTGCTGCTCGACGACCTCGAGGGCCTTCCCTGCCTCGGCTTCCTTCCTTCGCCTGGAAGCACCGAGGTGGCACGCCGAGAGTGAACGCACACCGGAAAAAAAATGAATAAAATGCAGCAGAGTAAGACAAGGACAGCTGACGGACGGAGCCGTGAGGCCCGTGAGGCCCGTGAGGCGACCCCAGTTAACCCGAAATCACTCGATACCCGCCTGGATTGATTGGCGTCATGCGGTACCCGCGGCCCCGGCGTACCCGCGGCCCCGCCAGCACCGCCGGCACACCGTCGTTCCGGTGCCAACGCTTTCTCCGCCGTCTTAGACGCGGCGTTAGCAACGTGTCTATTTGATTAAGGCCCGACCCGGGCCGGGCGTTTGGCGTGGTCCTGGACACCCGGAAGGACGCAGCGAGGTTGGTAGGACGCGCGGAAGGGCGCAACCCGAAAGGACACTGCGGGATAGCGTAGAGGACACTCTGAGCTGAGGAAACCGAAAAGACACTCCAGGGCTCCCGCCGGGATGCGTACCCGGAGCCCCTCGGGCGGTACCCGTTGGCTCCACTCCGGCCCGGGGCCCGGGGCTGGCTGAGGCTGGCCGAGGCGCAGGTGGGTCACACGCAGGTCGTCGCATCGTAAAGGGGCGATCGTCAATACTGCAGCAGCACTATTTGCCTGCACGCCACTCGCACGTAGCGCGTCCCGCGTGTGTCCCGCGCGCCTCGCGGGGCTGGCTGCCTGCAGGGCTGGCTGCCTGCAGGGCTGGCTGCCGGCGGGGTCCGCAGGGCCCGCAGGGGGGCGCGGTGTTTGGGTGTCGTCGCGCGTACAGGTCCCCGGGCCCCCCTGGCGGGGCTGGCGGGGCTGGCGGGGCTGGCGGGGCCGACGGGGCTGGCAGCCGGGCGTCACTATTCGCGCCTGGATTCCCTGTGCACACCGTGTACCCCATCATGTCGAGGGGGCGGTCAATATTGACACGCAGCACCGCGTCGCCGGACACGCTGCAGGCCGGTGGGCTCGCTCGCTCTGTCTCTCTCTCGCGACCGCGGGGCGCCTCGGCGTCTCGTGGAGGTGCGAGAGAGACGGAGGGACTCGGCTGCCGCTGCCGGTCGACCACTGTCCTCTGAATGGGCGGCGGGGCAAGGACCTGCTTCGGCGCTGTGGCAAAACGATTTGCCGGAATTTGAGAGTGCATGCGGGAGTTTTTGATACTAGGGGGTTCGCCGGCAACGCGGGATGACGGCGGCGTGTCCACGACGTCGGCGACGAACGTTGTCCGCGAGCGCGCCGGGCCGGGCCGGGCCGCGCACAGTGGGCCAGAAGACCGGTGGAGGCGGCCAAAACTCTAGACGCGTTTTGAGCTCCAGAGTCGCTAAATGGGACTCGAACCGAACGTGTGACCCCACCAATGGATTCCTCGTTCGGAGAGCAATCCATTGGTGGGGTCACACGTTGGGTTCGAGTCCCATTTAGCGACTCCGGAGCTAAAAACGCGTCTAGAGTTTTGGCCGCCTCCACCGGTCGTCTGGCCCGCTGTGCCGCGCCGGGCGGCTGGATGGTCCCGAAGGGCCTCCGCGTCCCGGCCGTCCAGGGCCCGCGGCCCGGCCGGCTGTGCCCGCGGCGTGGCGCGGTGCGGCGCGGCAGTAAAACAAAATGACGGAGTACCTAATCAAGCATGGCACTTTGATGTCTGCTGTACAAATGGGCGAAATAAAGCAACAGCGACCCCGCGCCTTGCCGCGCTGCATCGCCGTGGTGCCGTACCGCGTCCTCCTGGCTGCCTGCCTGGCTGCCGGCCCCGCGGTCGCGGTCCGCCACGGTCCGCCTCGCGGGTTGGGCGGCTGGGCTCCCCGACGACCTACTTTGTGGCCGCTTGGGATGCGAGTGTTGGTTTATTGGCGCTGCTGCCCTTTGCGCGGCCACCGAGCGGCCCGGAAAAAAAGACGAATCCCAGACCCAGGCTTGCGTTGCCGCCGTCAGCCCGTCAGGTCCGGCCCGTCGACGCGGTGCTCGGACACAGTACTGCAGGTCAAACTGGATGTATCTGGTGTCGACTCGCCGACGTGTCGTCAGGGAAGCCGTCACCATCCTATGGCGCCTCTGCGCTGCGCTCTCCACTTTTCTGATGCTTTTAATAAACTGTTAATCTTGACGTGGATTCCGAGAAATCGATACCAAGTTCCCCCAGTCACTCTAGTCTGGTATAGTCACTGTGTGACTCTCTGGCGGTCCACGGACGCGTGCCCTCGCCGCCGCCGTTCTGGTACTGGGCCAGGTGGCGTCGGCTGCGTCGGCCTGGCGCACTTGAAGTGCACCGGGCCGCCGGCCCCCCCTCCGAATCTAAACCGTGCCGGCGTGCGTCTCCGCCGTCTCGTTGCCCGATTATGGCAATTAATTTCGCCCAGTCACCATCGGTCACGATGGCGTCTGCGCGAGACGAGGCCCACTAGGCGGACCTCCGCGTCGCACGCGCGGCGCCAGCAGCGACAGCCAGTCCTCGTCCTGTATCAGCGCGCGGCTCAGCTCGCGTGCCGCGCCACTGCCGGTACCGGCGGTACCCACCTACCTGCCTGCTACGCTTGCTACGCTTGCATAGTACTCGAGGACGCTGCTGCGCCGATCCCCACGCAGGCCGCGTTGTCGCGGTCCGTGACTCGACAGTTTCCAGTGTCTCACGGATTCGCCTTTTTGGGACCTTTTTCGAGCCTTCCTCTTGCTGGGGTGAGATTTTTGTAGGGTGGAGCGACCGATCGTGGATCACTTTTCCAAACAGGATCACTGCGGATCATTTCCAATCGACTCAAAACGATTTTTTTGTGAAAAAAATCAAGTTCAATGAGTGAAACGCACTTTGTTTTCTTTGGAAAATCTGATAATTTGCTTGGGAATGATGGGAGGTGGTCCATGTGTGGAGCAGTGCTCCATGTTCGGCACTTTACCGCACGCGCCAAACCTTCTCGGAGTTTTTGTCGCGGTTATCTAACTACTTGGGTGCGGCCCGTGACCGTGACGCGGACCGCGGATTGCCTCGGCAGTGATAAAGCCTCCAACTTTTGATTGGTTTTGATTTTGTGTCGGGTGCAGCCCTTTTGAACGTTTCTCTTGCGGTGTTGCAGGGCCGCGCGCCGTACGGTCGCGCCGTGAGCATGGAGCAGCGCTGGCAGGACTTGGCCAACTTGCTAAGCCTGCCGGCCGGCCAACAGCAGGAGATGCAGGCCCACGGGCCCGTGCCGCCGCACCACCATCACCACCACCATCACCACCACCACCACATCCACGGTGGTGCGGCCGGCGCCGCGCCGCAGCCCCTGGGCGCGCACCACCCCCAGCACTACGGCTATGACGGCGTCCACGCCGGCGCGTCCCCCGCGCGCTCCGTGGTCCTGCACAACGCCACCCTGGCGCCGCCCGTCGGCGACCTCAACAGCTCCAGCGTGTACTCCGGCCTGTCCATGGGTAAGGCGACGAGCGGTGCACAGTGGGCCAGAAACCGGCGAAGGTGGCCAAAACTCTAGACGCGTTTTGAGCTCCAGAGTCGCTAAATGGGACTCGAACCGAACGTGTGACCCCACCAATGGACTCCTCGTCCTGAGAGCAGTCCATTGGTGGGGTCACACGGTCGGTTCGAGTCCCATTTAGCGATTCTGGAGCTCTAAACGCGTCTAGAATTTTGGCCGCCTTCGCCGGTTTCTGGCCCACTGTGCGGTGGCTCTAAAAGCTTTGGCGTTGTCGTTGGACGTGTGCGTGACGCTCTCGGACCTGCCGCAGGCTCTGCGGTGGCGCAGTCCATGAACCTGACCAACAGCAGCGAGCCCATGGGCGACGGCTCGCCCACCAGCGCCTTCAAGATGGAGCCGCCCCACGACATGCTGTACTACCAAGTGAGTTGCCCCCCGCGCCGAACGATCCAGAAGAACCGTTTAGCCACTCTGTCTCTGTCGCACTCACGGGGCTCTCCGTAAGGGTGCGAGAGAGACAGAGCGACAAACAGGTCTTCCCTGGAGAGACTCGCCGCCGCTCACCGGTCCGCTCCCTCTTCCTGTTGACAGAACTCCTCGTCCGGCACCGAGATGGGCCAGCTGGCGCCGCTCAACACCACGACGGAGGGCTTCTTGTCGTCCATCCTCAACGACGAGGACCTCCAGCTCATGGACATGATGAACGACAGTGAGTATCGCCAGTTGGCAGCGCAGTGGAGCAGCGCCTCCATGCGCGAAGCGCGAACCACCCCCCACCCCGCCACGCCGCCATGCGCGCGGCGCGGCGATACCCCGCGTCGTGCAGAGCCCCCGCGCGGGGAGTATGTCCGTCGGCATGGCGGCAGCGCGCGCACGGCCCGACGACCCGGCCCGACGACGACCCGGCCCGACGACGACGTCGTCGCGCTGTGCTTTGAGTTACTATTCCGCGCGTGGACCACGTGTGTGTCTGACGACCCGCGTCCAAACGCCAGCCTCATGTATTTTCCATTGTTTTATTTTGGGCTTATGATGTTTTGCCTTTGGGTGTAGCGCTGCAGGGCGCCGCGCGCCGGTGCAAGGTGGCGGGGCGCGGTGGGGCGGGGCGCGGTGGGGCGGGGCGGGGCGGGGCGGGGCGGGGCGGGGCGGGGTGGGGCGGGGTGGGGCGGGGCGGGGTGGTGGGGGGCGGGGCGGGGCGGGGCGTGCGACCGGCGGGGCCGCAGGGCAGGGCGGAATGACTGGTCAGTATGACCGTGTGGCGGCGGCCCTGCACTACGCTGTTCGGCGCTGTGGCCGCCGTGGCCGCGGGTGCCGCGTCGGTCGGGAAGCGGCCCCGATGGTTGCACTTTTCGGGCTTTTCTTAGTACACACCTGCGCGCCGCGGAGGCAGCCGAGGCTCCGCTTCCGTCTGTTTGCACACCTGAGAAATGGGACTACAGATGTGTAGGTACTGTATGTCGCGCCGCGGTACCGCCGCACCGCGGCGGGTGTTTGTGCTTCGAGTTGGTGACGCGCAGGGCAGGCGGGGCAGGCCGACCGCCAGTGCGCAAGGACGGAGTCCCCAGGACCGCCAGGACACGTGTACAGCAGGGGGGCCAGGGAAACGGGGTCGTTTGGTTTAGAGTCACTGTCGGACTCTAGTTTGGTTTCGGCGCGCGTGACCGCCGCGCCACCGCCGGCTGTGTTTACGGGGGGCTCGTGCCCCAAGTCTTGAGGAAGTGGCAGGGCCGGTCTGGTCTATCTGCGCCTCAACTCGCCACTCGCCATCCGTACTGATAAGCGGCACGATGACTCAGCAGTTCCGCGCGCGACGGCGACGGCGGCTTGGCGGACTGCGACGAGTCAAGGGCGGGCCATGGTGATGCCGATGGCGGGGCCGATGGCGGGGCCAGTCGCGGTGCGGGCCAGGAGGCCTAGGCCTAGCCCAAGCTCAAGCCCGGCCCGCGGTGAGGTGTGTGTTGCCGTGCTGCGCTGCGCGCTCCACCCGCGTCGACGCCTGCGTGAGGCGCGAGGGCGAGGCGCGTCCCAGGAGCTCATTGTCGCGTGTGCTCGTGAGTTGACGTCGCCGCCGGGCCGGGGCGGGCCGGGGCGGGCCGGGGCAGGCCGCCAGAGGGCCTTAGCCGGTGTCGGCGATGCGATAACGCGGGCCTGCCAGATCCGGGCCAGAAGCGGGTGGGCGCGGAGGGCCGCGGCCGCGGCGCGCCTCACCCGTCCTCGCTCTCGTCTAGCTTCTAGGCGCGTGGCGTCGTGCGTCGGCGGTGATAGCGGTGAGAGAGGAGGTCGAGCGTGCGGGGTGGCGGGGGAGCGTGGACTTGGCAGGACAATTTGCTCTATCTTATCTGGTCCCCAGAGTCCGGCCGGCCGGCCAGCAGTGTCACTGTGACACAGCGTTTGCGCGTTTGCCCGTTAATCCATACGCTACCCGTTCTGTTGCAGGCATGTACCCCCTGCGTATGCTGGACGGGGCTGCGGGGGCCGTGGGCGGACCGGGCCCGGGGGCGGTGCTGCCGGGGGCGGCGTCGGGCCTGATGGGCGCCACGCAGGTGTCGCAGGCGTCGCAGGCGCAGAGCGACGAGCGGCTGGACGCGTCCAGCGACAGCGCCGTCAGCTCGATGGGCTCCGAGCGCGTCGCGTCGCTGTCCGACGGCGGCGAGTGGATGGACGCGAGCTCGGACTCGGAGCACTACCAGATGGACGGCAAGTACCGCCCGGCCGGTAGCAGCCTGGCCAGCCACCACCCCAACGAGTACAGCGGGTACTCGCCGCACCGCGCCGCGCCCGCCGGCGTCGCGCAGAAGAAGCACCAGATGTTCGGCAAGCGCTACCTCCAGGGCGAGCCTGCCACCGGTACGTGGACGGGGATGACGGGGAGCAGGAGCAGGGTGTCGCGGGGCGGGGCGAGGCTCGGGGAAGTCTGGGAGGGTCGAGGGCGCCTGACGCACCGCTCACCGCTCACGACGCGCGGCGCGACAGTGATAAGGATGACTGGGATGGCGTTCGCACCTGCCAGCGATTGTTTACTAAAAGTGGATGACTTGCACTCTTTCAGGAGGACTGCCGGTCGGTCCTGCTCCCGCCATGGCCACTCCGATGCCGCTCAAGTTGGACTTCGGCGGCGAGGCGTCGCGGCCCGGCGCCATGCCCGGCGCCATGCCCCAGCCTCAGGGCCCTCAGGGCGGCGCGTCGGCGGCGCCCTCGGCCAGCGGCCTCGTCATGAACGGCTCCGTGGCCTCGGGGCTGGGCGTGTCCGCCATCGTGCCCTCCGGCGCCAGCGCCTTCAGCTCGCCGATGTCGCTGGACGAGGAGGAGCAGCGCGCCCACGACATCAAGTTCGGCTACTACGGCCACGAGTACCCCCGCCAGCACCATGGTTTGTGTTTCTCGAAATTTTCACCCGATCTTAAAATTCCAAGTTTTTCTCAATCATGTCGCAGCACAACCGTTGAAATGAAAACTGGCGACCTCTTGACTCATTGCTGTTTGTTTTGTTTCCCACAGCTCGGCCTCCAATGGAACCGGTGGCACACAACCACACCTACCATTTGCCACCACCTCCGGAGAGCTCGGGCTCAATTCAACGCCCCCTGCAAAGGGACAAGCCTTCCAAGTCACGCGACTGTAAGTAAAATAAATAAATTGAGCCTTGAGAAATGCTGCATTTAATTTGGTGTGGGAGGACCTGGAGCGAATTGTTGCGATGGAATTTGTAATGAAATGTTGCTTTGTGCCCAATGCAGCTCGCAGAAGCGACGATGCACACTTGTCGCGCGACGAGAAGCGTGCGCGAGCTCTGAACGTACCGATGGCTGTGGACGACATCATTAATTTACCCATGGACGAATTCAACGAACGGTTATCCAAGCATGACCTTAGTGAAGCGCAATTATCTCTTATCAGAGACATCCGTCGCCGTGGTAAAAACAAGGTATGTCCTTTGGTTTCCTTTTATTGTTATGAAACTAGAATATATAAATTTAACAGTGTCTGGAAAGTTTTATTTTGTTGTAATTTTGTTCCTAGGTGGCTGCCCAGAACTGCCGCAAGCGCAAGCTTGACCAAATTGTTTCTCTTGCCGATGAAGTTCAGCAAATGAGAAGTAGAAAGCAAAAGCTTCTTAGGGAACATGACTACCTCAACAGAGAAACTGCACTTGCCAAGGAAAAGTTCAGCCAATTTTACCGACATGTCTTCTCTGTAAGCATTTGAGACTCATGCGCTTAGTGTTTCATATCAATCTCTATAGCTCTTGACTCACAAAATACTGTTCTGCTTTAAACTTTCCTAGGCCCTGCGAGATGCTGATGGCAACCCTTACTCTCCGTACGAGTACAGCCTGCAGCAGGGCCCTGAGGGCAACGTAATGTTGGTGCCCTTGTCTTCCTCCAGCCCTGCAGGGGCCAGCGGTCCCTCAGGCATGGCGCTCGACTCAGCCCACCAGCAGATGTCTCGCTCCATGTCACAGTCGCAGTCTCTGTCAGAGGCAGCAGTAGCCCCACAACCTCACCCCCACTACGTCAGGTTGTCCATGTCCTTGCCGCAGCATTCACTGCATCAACATGACCGACTTAAAGACCAACAAGCTCAGCACTCGCAGCAGCACCCCCATGCCCCCCACCCTCACCCCCACCACCCCCACCCCCATCACCCTCACCACCCCCACCACCCCCATCATCCGCACCACCCACACTCGGATCCCCATCACAAGGAGTGAAGGGGAGGTTGGTGGTATGCGGAGAAGTATGAGTGAGTGAGTGTCTGTATGTGTGTGAGTGTGTGAGTGATTGTGTGAGTGGGCATGGGAGGGTTTTAGTTTCATTTTCATTGTTGGTGTAACTGTCAAATGGGTTTTCTGCTAAAAGTTGTATCTGAACATATTAGTGTGCTACCTAGCTTAAAGCTCTATATGCACATTTTTTTTTTTTGTTGTTGTTGTTGTTGTTTTGAAAAAATGAGAATCTTCTTTTCTCAATCATTTCTCTTTCAAAGTAATTTTTATTTTGTTCAGCAACTAAAGAGAAGTAAATAGAAAATTATGTCTGTAGATAAAAGACATGTTTGGAACTCGTAACTAATTCTGAGTAGATGCATTGAATTTTTGACACTGGACTGACTGGTGGTTCTAAAACGGGTCATCATAGATCTTGTGCAATTTCTTCAAGAAATTCTGCCAAGTTTTAGCTATGTTTAATTTATGCAGTAAAAGAGCTTTCAGATGCATTGTTGTAGTGGCTTTCAAGTTTTATCCACTTTATTGTTTTATCACCAGTGAAAATGATTTTTAATGTCCTTAGCTGTGTTGATGTTGTAGAGGCAATGCAACCTTGTGATTTAATGACCTGCTTTTCATGCAAGTCAGAAACAGCTCAAAGTGAATGTGATGTGATGTTAATATTACTGTAACTCTCTAGCTATGCTTTTGCTTTTAAATTTATCTCTTTGTCACACTAAATTTGAAACAGACTTTTGTTTGTTTCCTTGGGAGGCACTTATTTTTTATGTTAATTCTTGTGTCCTTCTGATATTGGCATACATGTAAATTGAGAAACAAACCAAAAGAGGCAAATCCCTTTTTACTCTTAACATCTTTTTCTGCTTATACTGTAACGAACTCAAATTTAGTTGGGAATATGGTTAGCCTGTTTTGATGTGAATGTCTTCATTCAGGAATTTGTCCAAGTTTTTACTCTGATTTGAGTATTTAGTTTTGCCTTCATTTATTTCTTAGGAAGGGTAGTCTCAAAATAAATCAAAGTTTTCCTACCCTGTGGAAAGAAAATGAACACATTCTGAAATTTTCCAAATCTATTGGAATTTTACTGATTCACCAATTATTTTTCAAATAATTGATTGTTAAGTATATTGGCAGCAATTTTTTTTTTTACTTTTGACTAATTGATGATAGCAGTGTGCTTTGGGTGCTGAGGCTTTTAATTATGATCATGGCATGCAGTTTGTTAATGCAAATGACATTGCATTTACATCATTGTAAATTTGATCTCAAAAGAAATGCTTAGTACAATAACTGTCCGCATGCCATGTAATCCCTCCATGTTTTTTTCCACTTCAATTTTTCTTACTTTAGTCTGAGCCTAGCCTGCATTATAGTTGCCGTAGATGATGAGCCTTATGTGGAAACTTAATACCTTAGATCGGTTAGAAAGTTATGAAATAAGAAGTCAGAGCTATAATGGGTGTCCAGCAATCAGTTGCTATTGAATTTGGATTAGCTCTCCAAAAGCATCTCTGTTTCGGAAGTCATTCACTATACTACTAAAATTGTGCAATAGATACGGTGCAATGGATCTTCCTCAGCAGGGTCTACGAAATACACTTTGTTACCTTACTGATACTAGTTTTTATTTTGTCATAGTTTTGGCTGCTATTAGAATTATGTTTGGGTTGTAAACTCATTTGTATTCATATGTACATATTGTTAATGAGAGAGATTCTACCAGCCTTTTATATATTTATGTGTTATGTAAGTTATTTTCAGTGTGGAAATAATTTTTAAAAGATATTAGTGAACAAAAATTAACATCCAAATTAACCTAGACAGGTGGATGTCAAGTTGGTTTTCTTTACAGCAAGCTGAAGGTGATGGTTGAGGTCATGTTTGCTGCTTGGAAAGGGAATTTGGCCCTCGTCTGCTTTGTACATAATGCAACGATTGTGAATAGAACATATTTTTACTACTATCAATCATTAAGTGGAATGGTGAATGTAAATAGTGTACAGATAGCTTATATATGTATAATTTTCTGCTGTCCAATTTTCTCCCTTCTTTTTTGTATGTATAAATAAATGTAAATTGAAATTATTATATTAAATTGAGCGTTAACAGTTGTTAATCACATACAGGAGTGGTAGACTATATTTTTATGGAATGGGTTTCAAGAAATTTTATCTTCTACTGTACCTCTTTCACTCTCTTTGAGGGAACAAAAATTCAATCTGACTCATTTACAGAGCATCTTAGAAGGTTTAGTGAGTGTGTTTTGACTGCATTGTTTATTTACAAAATTAAACAGACTTGTAAGGAAAAATAAAACCAACTGATCAATAGTTGTTTGTCTTTGTTTCCTTTATTCCACCTTTCAATTGATCAGTAGATCATGTACCACAAATAACTATCCAAAGTACACAAAAATAAAAACTGAAAGCAATATTGACATTTTGAAAAAATGTCCCAAGGGGAGTCTTGGAGAATATGAGACTGCAACTGCAACATGAAATTAAAATCACTTAATCATACAGTCAGTAAGTTACTGTAAAACATCAAAAACAAATCATTTTCACTGGGTACCGAAATCAGACGTAGAAAAAACTTACAACACCCAACACATGCCATAGATTGAGACAGAACGATCAGCACTTAAGGAAACAGACAGAATAAAAATAGATTCACAGAGAGTTTTGAACAACACAAACATAAAACAGGCTTATGACATTGCCCATCCTAATTACCGTAACTCAGTCAGTCTTGGAAACTTACAAACTATTATCACCCATGCAACAAAATGTTGCAAATTATTCTTTTGTTAATAAGTGCGCCATATAATGATCTTTCATTTAATGTGCATTATGTACATTTTGGGACCAAACTGGATCCCTTGCTCTAAATTCTAGCAGGAAAAAAAATCAGGATTTCTCATACAGAGAAGAAGTAGAACAGATAATTTACCACAGATTTCCATTTCCATCACCAACACAGACCCAAGCAATAAATTATTAAACAATAAACTCTGCGTGACAATTAGGAAGCTGTGGTGCAGATAATGCGTTTGTTGCACAAAGAAACACACAGTGCAGGAAACACATACACATAGATAAATTGATGGAAAAGAACTTACATCAGTACCAAAATGTTCAATTTATATAAATCATAGCGCTAACTCCGGATCTTAAGAAAAAATTACAACATTAGGGTACAAATGCATCTGCAATGCTGCAAACCAAGTAAATACCTTCCTGCTGTCACTCACCAACATATTTAACTTCATCAAAGGCTTTTCTTGCCTTCTTCAACTCCTCATTCATAGTTAATAGATCTTTAACACGAGCATATTTACGCTGGTCTTTACGTACAAGAAACACAATGTCTTCCACTTGGACCCTTCCTGTCCTGCCAATCTCCATTCCCTTGTGTGTCTGAAAAGGTTCATAATAATAAATAACTGCGCCAGGCAAAGAAATTAATTTTACAAGATACAATATAAAGGCATACCATCTCAGTAATAAATTCTATGACTAGATCTTCGAGTAGATCGACACTTTCAGTGTATGGGTTCTGGTCATCACCAAATCCATACATCATGCATCGTAACTCCTTAGAAAACCATCTCTTCCTTCCGGACGAGGTAGAGCCCAAAGGGGCTACATATTCCAGCTCTTCTTCTTCCTGAAATCATACAGAAATGTCTCGATGTCAAACAGAGCAAAACAATCCGCAAGCAGCACTGGGCCACTTCTTAGAAAGCAGTTGAACTAGAAATATAGTAACTTTTTGAAACGGAAAACTGAGAATCTATAACATACAACTTCACCCTCTTCAGGGACAGTGGTGGCACCAGCGATGGAAGTAGTAACTGGAGTGACTGTTGTCGCTGAGGGGGCTGAAGTGGCCGGAGGGACTGTAGTGACCGGAGGGACTGTAGTGGCCGGAGGGACTGTAGTGGCTGGAGAAGCTGAAGTGGCTGGACAAGCTGAAGTGGCCGGAGGGGCTGAAGTGGCTGAGGTGGCTGTATCTGCTGTTGTGGCTAAAGGGGGTGTAGTGGCTAAAGGGGCTGCAGTTGCTACAGGGGCTGTAGCGGCTGAAGGGACTGTAGTGGCTAAAGGGACTGTAGTGGCTAAAGGGACTGTAGTGGCTAAAGGGACTGTAGAGACTGAGGGGACTGTAGTGACTGAAGGGGCTGCAGTGCCTGTAGTTGCTGCAACAGCTGTAGTTTCAATGGTGGGCGAAGAGACCGAAGTGTCCGAAGAGGCTGAAGGGACTGCGGGCGTCGCGGGGTCCGCTGGAGCTCCGAAACTAGCAGGAGCAGTTGTAGTCACTGGCGAAGGCGTGGAAGGGCCGATCGCCTCCGTGACCGGCTCAGGGACGGGCGTGGTGTCCATCATGATATCACCTTTCCCACAAATCAGTACAGATTCGGGACACAAACAGACGACGCACCTAACCCTACCACCAAACACCAACAAACAAGAACAAAACTGCGTCTGCTGGTATGAGAAATCCAGGAGTCTGATAAAGCCGGAAACGGATACGACTCGGGTGCGGCGCGGAGAGCGGCAACCATTCTCAATTTCAAAACACAGCCTATCCTGTTCCGTCCTGCTGCGCTCTGCCGCCCCGCCTGCCTCCGCTCTAGTATCTAGTACACAAAAGCAGAGGTCGAACCAGCGTACGAGTCCATCTGCGTCGAAAGAGCACTACCCACGTCGGCAAACAGCGCATTTCTCGCGAGCACCGCTACCACCGTGGCACTTTTGCCAAAAATATAGTAAATTATTTTCTGCGAGGAGCGGGCTGCTTAACCGATACGGCGCTAGTCGGCACTAGTGACTGCTAGGCCACAAGTGCTGTTCCAGGTTCCCTGTATTCATTCATTTTCTCCCCTTCATGTCCGGCCCTCCCGCCGAGCGATTTCGAAGTTTCGCTTCGTCGCTCTGTCTCTGTCGCACTCGTGGGGCGTCCGCAGGGTACCTACCGCAGGGCAAACGAAGGGGTGTGAGAGGAGAACCGCGGCCCCTTTCCGTCTCCCGGCGAGCGGACGCGTGTTACCAGTGTACACGTTACAGTGCGGCGCGAAGGGCACGCGTTGGACGGAGATGAAAAATGATGCGCGGCCGCCGATCCGACCATCCCTCTCTCTCTCTCTCTCTCTCTCTCCCTCTCAGCTAATTGTCGCGAATCCCGAGAAATCGCCAACGATCTGCGGTTCGGGGAAGCTCTTATGCCGGCCTGGGCGCTACGTCCATCAAGGGGGAGGGCGGGGCGGGGCGGGGCGCGGTGGGGCGGGGTGGACGCCGTCGCCGAGGCGCCCTGCCCCTCCGGACTCCGGACCCTCTCCGCGACCGCCACGCGATTTCGTCCGGAACATTATGACAAGAAGCGCACCTAATTCGATGCTGTCACCATATTTGAAAATAACTGTCGTGGCGGAGGGGAGGCGAGGGTTCGCGGGCAGAAACTGGGTTTCCGCGGAGGAGGACGCGGAGACGCGGCGCGTGGCCGTCGCCGCGACCCCCGTGCTGGCAGCGTGCTGGCAGCGTGCTGGCGGAGGAGGGCCCGGATTATGAATTATGCAAGGACCACGGCGTGGCGTGAGTCTGTTAAGGCGGTGAGGGGACCAGGGAACAGGACATCCTCTTGGCCACGCTTCATCTGCTGCTCACGACGGCGCCGTGGTTCAAATACCACGCGCGCTTGCCTCAATTTTTACATTTTTATTTTTTTTTCGTACCGGGGAAAGAAAAGGTTGGCCAGCCTGGGAACCGTCCGGCGTGGTGGCCTCGAATCCGCGCGGGTAGAGTACTTCCGGCGTAAACGGAACCGGAAGCGGAAAAGAGCGTGGGAGACGCGCGGGGTGCGAAACGCCCTCCGCCTCGCCACGCTCGCCATCCATCACCGAGAGGCCCAACCGGACCAACCAGCAGGCAGAACGCGCCGTCTCTCTCGCACCCCTGCGGGCCGCCCCGTGCCACCCCGTGCGCGCGAGAGAGACAGCGCCGAAAGCGCCGGTCGGAGTCAGGCGGCGGAGCCAACCCGCGGCGAGCTCCGGGCGGCCAGCCCCAGGCCCTGCAGCGGGGGCCCAGCGAGCCCCCGCGGACCCCCCGCGGACCCCCACGGCCCCGCGGAGGGGGCGGCGCCTGGTGGGGCGCGGACCGCCGTTGGCCGAGGGCTCGTCGCGCAGCCTGGCCCAGCAGCCTGAGAGGGGGCATCCCTTACGTCGGGGAGGGGGCCTAAGTGCACCTCCATGCCGCAGCAGCCGCAGCCAGCCAGCCGCAGCCAGGTGCCCGACTCGCGTGGCGGCCTCGCCGTAAGGACGCCCCCTGAGCCACGGACAGCCATTGGACCATTTTTTTTTTTGAACACGTGTGTCCGTTGGGGCGACGGCGGCCTCAAAATTGGTCCACACCCGGCCGTTGCCCCCGAGCCTCCCCCGCCGCCCCGCCGCCCCTCGCGACGTCGTCGTCCACGTCTTGGTTCCCCCTCGTCGAGCTCGATCAGGCGTTAAGGATGTTGGAATAAATTACCCGCGGCGGGTCGGTTCGGTGCGGGGCGTTAAACTGTGCGCAGATTCCCACGACGCACCGCGGCGCCCTCGGGCACGCCTTGGGCACGCCCGACGCGTGGAGCCTGGCGGACTTACAGCACGAGCCGGCACCAGCCGGCACCAGCCGGCAGCCAAAAGAGTTGGCCAAATTTCCCGCAACGCACCAAGGGGCACTGACAGCAAAATGGTCTCGGGCAGAGGAAATGCTCGCGACAGAAAATTGCCCCCAGCGCGTGGTGAGCGGGCAGTCCCGGACGCGGCCCTGCGTCGGCGGACTGCATAACCGCGGCTTCCAGCAAGCTTCCAGCAAGCTTCCAGCGCCTCCAGCGGGTTAGGGCCCGCGGCGCCGCGGCCCCCCCTCGCCAAGGTGACAGACTTGTTGGGCCTGGAGGGGTAGACAATCGAGTTAGCGTTCTAAAAAAAAAAAGGAGAAAGCACGCGCAGACTTCGTTTTGAAGCCACCAGGCCAATTTGCACTCCAAGTCGGTTCGAGGTCCTGACTAAGAAGGAGAGGCGAGGAGGAGGAGCCGGCCGCGGCCGGCAAGGTGGCAAGGTGGCCGAGGCGGGCCGCCGAAAACACGCGCCAGAGGGCAGACCACTGGGACAAACAGTGTTCCGGTAATCTCAAACATGCTCTCAATTTGCGTCTTTTGCCTCACTGTTTTCGCGGCCGGGAGTGAGACTTTAAATTCTGGTCGGCCGGCCGGGTGGGGCCACTGGGGCCACTTGTCCAAGAAGCGGCAGCCGGCGCGAAGGGATCAGTCCGCAGCCGCAGCGGGCAGCCGCCGGGAAGAAGACTTTATTAATATACTTCCAATAGCCGCGTCGCGATTCAGACGCCATCAATTGCCCAAGACGAACTCTTCTCAAAACAACCACAAAAAATAAAATCGAAAAAAAAATAGCAGACAGGCGCGCCGCGCGCAGACTGGCGCCAAAAAAAAAAAGAAGAAAAGAAACGGGTGCGAAAGAGGAGGAAAGTCGTCGGCGGGGCGGGAAAGTTGCCACAAAAGGTGTGCAGTTCTCTGATCAACGAAATTACCCTGAAAAAAATCGGATTAGGCGCGCGCGCGACGCGGCCGGAAAGACGAGTGCATCCCCGGCGAGCCCGAGCACCCCGAGCTCCACGAGGGCCACGCGCCTCGGCAGCGGGCTGGCAGGCGGCCTCCGGAAAGGCCATGTCGTCGTCCTGGTCCTCTCGCACCCCGAACCGAGTGCGGGAGGGACCGCGAGGGAAGCTGCTGGGCCCGCGACGGCCGCGACGGCCGCGACAGGCGGGGGGCCGGAAATGGGCCATCGACTTGGGCAAAATGGATTTGCATGTGGATGAGGCGAAGCAAGCGGAGGGCTGCTTGACGTGCTCCACGACGCGACGGGCTTGCCGTCGGCACGCCGCGGCCCCACAATGGCAGCCCCGCATTAAGAGGAGCTGTTGCACCTCGCGAGGCGGCCAGCACACCAGCAGACTCATTCCAAAAGTCACTACACTGATACTGCGGGTGTTACGTGATTCGTGCACGGCGCCGCCCTAACAGTGGCGCGACCCAGAGCGCCGATCGACGTCGCGATTTTTCCTCCGCGGCCTGCGCTTTCCCACCGGATACAGTCGCTCCGTCTCTCTCGCACCCGTGCGCCGCGGCCGGCGCGCCCCGTGAGTGCGAGAGAGACGGGGCGACGGCGGAATCGCCCCGCTTTACCGTAATTATTTCCGCCGTCGACGTTGAGGCCGCAGGCATGCCGCAGGCCGCGCACCCGAACGCAAACGCGCCCCTCGGCGCCGCCGGCGGACTGATTTCGTCGCTCCGTCTCTCTCGCACTCGCGGGGCGTCCCGTGTGGGTGCGAGAGAGACAGAGCGACGGCGCCGCCCCCCGGAATGAGTCTCCTGCTTCGTGCGCTACTCGGCGTGCTCGGCGTGCCCGGCGGAGGCGGCCTTTCCGGCCACACCGGAAGCGAGCGGGGGCGTACCTACACTGGCGGCCTTACAGTGGTGCGGCCTGCGCGCGTTCACACAGTTTTCACGCAGTGTTCACACCGGCTAATGGACGGCCTTGGGGGCCGAGGGCGTCGCTCTGTCTCTCTCGCACTCGCGGCGCGGAGCGCGAGCCCCTGAGGGGCGCGAGAGAGACAGAGCGACGACAGCGGTTCGGATTTCGATCAGCTGGCCGTCGCTGGGCGCTGGTCGAAGTATCGGCGGCGGCCGGGCCGTGGGGCTCACAGCGCACCCCTGCTGCCTCGCAGTGCCGGCAGTGCCTTGCAGTGCAGCCCCTTGGCCCTTGATTCACTGTGGGAGCCCTGGGCCCTCGGGCTGGACTCGACTCTCACCTGCAGAGTCCCAACGCACTGCGTTCCCAAGCGGCCCCTGTCGCTCTGTCTCTCTCGCACGCCAGGGGCGACCCGCGAGGGCGAGAGAGACAGACGCTGTTCGGAGTGGGTCTGCAGTGGCGACCAATGGCTATCGGAGCGCGTCCATCGAGGGCGCGGGTGCGCTGTGTGCAGGGGTCGGCGCTCGCACCCTCCTAATCGCCATTTCGAGGAGCGCTCCGCAGACTGATACCGAACGGCGTTCCTCATTCCTCATTCTTGTAGTGGAGTGGCGCATTGGAACACACACCGCGAAATACTCCGTCGTGTTTGGCTTTGCTCGGCCGGAAGGGCCGGACAATGCACAATGCTGCCGGCACTGCGTGGCACTGCGTGGCACTGCGGGGCGGGAATGGTGCCACTGCCGTCTGACGCCTCACTCCGAAGGATCGCTCGCTTTCGTCGCACTGTCTCTGTCGCACTCCCGGCGCGCCCCGTAGCGGTGCGAGAGAGACGGGGGCCTCAATGGCCACGCCGGAATGCACGTCGGCGAGGAACGCGACGGTGACCGGCGAAATACAGGCCAAGTCCCTCGCGAAGCCGTGGCGAAGCCTAGCCTAGCACAGCCCAGCGAAGCGCCCGCGGTCGGCGGCGTAGGCAACCCATCGCACGCGCGCTCGCCGCCGTTGCCCACCTCCACGGCGCCAGCCACCCGGGAGCCGAGCAGACACCACCTCGCACAGTGGGCCAGAAGACC